ACAGTAGTATAGAAGATACAGCTGATACAGAATCTGAGATGAACTGTGTCTGGGAGAAGATAGCTACAGGAATAATACGTGCAGCTAATAAGAATATTCCTAGAAAAAAGGTTTCTAAAATAATCAATGCAAGAAGAGAAAACAAGTTTAAAAAATCTTGTTTGCACGAAAATGTGATTAGGCTTAGCAAACTAGTGAGAAGTCTAAAGAAGAAAATTGGGCTTAGAATCAGGATAGATGACAAAGACGAGATTAACATGTAACGGAAGAATTTAACCTTAAACATGAAATAAAAATCCCGCAAACAATATCATATATAGATGAAACCTGGCATGAAGATCTAGTAGGTTGGTGGAAACTATTAAGGGCAAGATGGATACAAGAAAGAGAAAAGGCCAAGAGAGAAACGATTGAAGAGCACATCAACAAGCGTTGTGAAAGAATAACAAGAGAACAAGGAAAAATGCTAGCGAGCTTGCTAGAAAGGCCTTTTAAGAAAATTAAAATAGATCGGGTTTTAAGAGAAGAAAATAGCAGCTTTACACTCGTTAATGATTCAGATAGTGTTAAGGAAGCAACAAAAGAATACTTCCAAAATCAGTTTAGAAAATGCCAGGTACAACCTAACAAGATAACCAATAAGTGGGAGGAAGTTTACAAGCCAATAAGCAGAATTAAGGAAAAATGGTTTAAGCACTTAAATGACCCAATCCAAGATGAAGAATGGCAAGAGATGCTTATAGAATTGAAAACTAAAATGGCCTCAGGGATTTCAGAAATAAGTTATACACTAATTAAAAAAGCTGGAGCAATATCGCAAAGTGTGTTTAGAAAATTCGCAGAGAAGTATATATGTAAAGGAGTAATTCCAATTAAGTGGAAGCTTGCACAAATCTATCCAATCCCAAAAGGCCTGGATTGGGACTTTTAGTTAGACAATATAAGACCAATTGCACTTCTAAAAACATTTAGAAAGTGTGTAACAAAAATTTTTAACAAGCATCTAATGGGGATCCTAGCAGAGCACAGTATCCTTAAAGGGCCAAATTATGCAGGGCTTTTAGGCTGCTTAACAGAAGAACTAGTACAGACCATTAATGCAGTTATGGAGGATACAAAAGAAAAAAGAAAAGAGTTGTGGGTTGTATTTCAAGACATGCGGAAAGCATATGACTCCATATCAGTAGAGATATTAATGTCAGCCCTCAAGAGAATCAAGCTCCCTGATACAAGTATCCAATTAATACATAACCTTTTCAGCAAGAGACAGATGAAAGTAATAGTACAAGATGGCTACACATTACTGTTCAAGGCAGGTGATTGTATTGATCAGGGAGAAGTTATATCCCCAATCATTTGGCAAATTTTTTATGATCCACTTCTATGTAGAATACAGGATGACAAGGCTTTTGGTTATGAAGTTGAGACATGTATCCCAGAAGATATAACAACAGAGGCAGAGACTAAGGTCTGTGTGAGGCAGGTAGCTATAGCCTATGCAGATGATATGACTTGGCTGGCGAACAGCAAAGCAGAAATGGAAAGAATGCTAAAAGTAGCAAATGAATTTTATATGATTAATAACATACAGATAAATAGTAAGAAATGTAATTTGATAGTAATGAACTGCAAGGCCAAAGACCATGAGGCGAAGTTGGTTCAGTTTAATCAAGACGAAATCAGAGCTACCAAAGATAGCATCACGGTGAGAATGCTTGATATTTGGTTAAGTAGGAAGTTGAAAGAATCTCTAGTAAGAGACAAAGCCAAGGAAATTGTCAGACAAATGACCTTAATATTATAGTAGAAAAAACTAACAATAAGCCAACTAGCATACATAAACAACATGGTCTTACTACCAAAACTCAGTTACATTTTGCAAGTCAGTAAACTTAGTACTCAGTTAATTGAAAAGATCCATCAACCTTTCATAAGACTAGTCAAAAGTAAACTCGAATTAGCCCGAACAGTCGATAACAATATGATTTTGCATAAAGATTTGGGAGGTTGCAGATTACTAGAACAGGAAATTGTAACTAAACAATTAATTGCTCTGCAAAACAGACTAAACTGTACATGAATTGAAAGTGAAATAACACAAATCCAGGTTAGAAAAGGTCTGTTAGATGCAGGTCTGACTAGTACAGTGTGGCAAACAGAAGAGAAAAAACAGCTAAGCAAGTTGTGGAAAAATAATTTGGCATGCATGATATTACTAAGAGCAAAAAAAATAAATTTAGCAATGAGTAATCTAAACTCTTTGTGGAACATAAAGGGACAGGTACTCCTTTGAGCAAGCTGCTATTAAAAGGAGATATAAACGGACTTACAAAAGAGTTAAAAAAATTAATGATTTTTTATATGTCACAAATTATTGATCATACTGGATATCGACTACTAACATGGCAGCAAATTAAGTTTATAAAAGAGAAGTCTAGCCATGATAAGAAGGCAAAGTGGTTTGAAATAATAGAGAGATTATTACTATAAGATCAGCACACAAGACAAGTTAAAGCTGAATACGTTGAAAGTAGCCCAAACAAAAGAACAATTATCTACTTAGAAAAAGCAATTTCTGAAGACAAAAGAGTCAAGGAATAGGTACTATGTGAAACGGAGAACAAGAGAAGAAAGATATGCAGAGTGCAAGAAAAAGAGAAGACAAAGGTCAAATTAAAGAAGTTTGAGATCAGAGACAGGGAAAATGATGAGGAAGGTGAATCCAATTTTGGCTCGATCTTAGAGAAGATGCCAGAAGATAGCGACGGCTGTTAGAACAACAAAGATAGAATAATAACAAGCCTACCTAAGCCAAGCAAAAAAGAAAGAGAAAGAAGGTACCCACTAACGACAGTCTTGTTCCAAAACTTAGTAATGGCTAATAAGAGGAAAAGAATTAATGATAAAAGAACAGTGGTTACAGTTGCACTAGAAGAGTCATTAGAAATGGAGCTGATTAAGAGATACGTAATTAGCCCAGAGCTACAGAAATTACTTCAAGAACAACTTAATATAAATAAGGAACAACCAGAAAAGTCAATTCTCTTCTATACAGACGGCTCATTAAAGACAAACAGGACAGCAGTAGCAATGGGGCAAGCTAGCTACGTGTCTAAGAAAATATGTCTAAAGTAATATTTAAAGAATACTGCAGAATAGAGAAATAGCCCTCATCAACAAAGCCCGAGTTAGCAGCAATCCTTCTTGCACTCCTAACTGTTCCACAGAGGTGCGAAGTTAAAATTCAAACAGATAGTGCAACAGCAATAGCAGGGCTAATGAAGCAGCCTGAACTCCAAGAAAAGAAGAAATGGGCAAGGTCAAAGAACATTAATATTAGAATAGGTATCTTAGAGATAGTCAAAGTTAAGTATACTGTATTAAGTTAGTACTAGAGAAGGTAAAAAGTCATAGTAGGGAGCAATGGAATAATAGAGTGAATATTCTGGCAAAGAAAGGGACAGAGATTGGTCTGGTTGCAAATGTAGCAAAGCCTATAACAACTGAATAAGATTCCAGTGGCAATGGAAAGACATCCAAATCGAATCAAGCCCAAGAAAATTTTTTAAGAATCTTTTTCAAGCAAGGACAGTAGCAAGTTTAAGTTTATCTCACTTAAGCAAGTTAGCAGGAACAAAAGAGGAGGGGAAAAAATTGGAGTGAAATCTTTTTTGGTCCCATTTAGGTGACTTTACCGGTTACAAATACAAGTCTCTTAAGAAAAGTAAAAAGCTAAGTTTCTGGTTCAAATTAATTATAGACGAGCTGCTGATGCTGCGGAAGCTACAGCAAAGAAAACCAGAGATTTATAATGTAGCCAATTGCAAAGTGTGTAATAGTAGAGATGAAGAAACACTAGATCACATATGTATGCGAAGTATAAGAACCCAACTGGCAGAACATAGAAGCAGTAGCAACAGAGATAGTATGGGACAAATTGTCTGAAGAGGCAAAAAGCAACTTAAGCCTAAACAGCTTGAGAAAGATTTTAATCAGAACCAGCAAAGAAGAAAAGATACAAGCTAGAGAAAGTCTAGTAAAAGGTTTATGTAGAATGAAACATACAAGAATTTAGAAGATGCATTAAAATCCAAGAAGATAGTAGACGAGTATCTAAAAAAACATTTTTTATATCTTTAGAAATGGGTGCTTTGATTTTATATAGAAGGAGAGATGCTACAAGGTAGATCGATGGGAAAGACAAGAAGGTATCACAGCAAAGCAGAAGAGACAAAAGACAAGACCAGGAAATACACATAAAGAAAAAGAAAGCACAAACTGCCCGGTAAGATTAAGAAGATGTCCGGAAAAAGAAGATAGACTAAAGAAAATTCAGCAGAAAGCAAGAGAGGTTAAAAAGAGGTGGGATGACACAATTGAGGAGATGATAAATAACGGTTCGAAGCCATTCTGGTTTGGCTCTTGACGGGGCTGACAATGTCTTCTGCTCTATGTATAGAGTAGTGCGACAGGTTGTATCTAGGTACTCAAGAAGCAACCGAATGATGCCGGACCTTATTTATTTTAGTGTAGATAAATAACATGTGTAATAATATATGTAAAAGTAATTATCTAGTAATAAAGGTACCGACAAGACTGTTAAAGAGTTAAAAAAAAAAGTTGGCTATAATCGATTTTTAATCAATTGCATTTGTTAGAATTACATAAATTTATTATAATGTATATTGAATTCTAAATTCTTTAATTTATTTTACTTATTCAAAAAAATAAATAAATAAATAAATAAACAAAAATCTAAATTTTTAAATAATGACTTTATTAAATAAAATATAATATAATTAAATTACATTAAAAAAAATATCAATATTAAATAACTATATTAGCATTCAAAAATTTTTTAAAAGCTATAGAATAAGCTTGCTCCGCCTTTGGCAATACTTGCTTGTCTTTTCGAAATACTTCTAATATATCATCTTTATTTTCTATCCTTTGAACTTGTGGACTGTCTTCGTCGGCTTCAATAATTTCTTTAAGAATCAATTTCGATTTATCTATTTTGCTTAGCCATGAAAGTAGAGAAGAAATGTTATTTTTTATGCCCAATTTGAGAAAAATTTCACAATAATAACATTTTCATTTAATAAAGTGAAACAGCTCTCATGGTATCCATGACCACATGCAATAACCATGGAGCCTTTACCTGTCCCGTCATATAATAATTCATGATAATGATCACATTTGTTATATGATGGCAAATACTTACTGCTGAATCCTAGTGGCATTTGCTTTTTGCCTACAGTAA